AAACTGCGTTACAAACTGAGAGGATCTGACAGGAAGAGGAAGAATGTTCCACAGAAAAGACTCCATCACCTCTCGTCTAGTTGGATTGTCAGAGTGTAACAATATCAAGATACATTCATTCTTCGAGGATTAATATGTTTAATACACCTTTTTAATTGACCCTTTCCATCTCACTTTTTAAAATACTCGTTCCTACATGGTATTTTAGTAAGATTCCTGATTCTCTTCTCAGTTTTCACATTCAGCAGAGTTCTTATGATGATGCAAGAGCTCAAACTGCCTCCACTCTGAAGTTTAACAACATTTACACAACTATCATTGTTTTCAGCTGAACACAAACTCCCTCACACCTGGAACGTCTCGAGTCATGTAGACATCACATTACATCATCTATCCATAAAACGGCTTTTCAAGATCATTTCTAAGGCAATGGTTCTGCCTTGAATGTTCCACAGTGTAGCATTTAACAAATTTGACTCTTGTTATTTATTCAATAGACCTTTTTCACAATGGCCGGAAGTGCCCTACTGTAGGTTTGTGGAAATTCAGATGAATGGTTTTCTGTGGCAAAATGTCTGGCGTATTCTCCACCGGCTTCATAAATCTGCCCCATCACCAAATCGTCAACCAACAAGATCCACAAAGGGTAAACATTCTAACATGAAGAATTTATCCACAACTATCAAAGTTGAAAAGATGAAAATTTAAAGGAGAACAACCACGAGCATTAGAGAACTACAGAACAAAACTAATGTTATGGTTGTGAATAAAACATAAGTAAATTAAGTCAGACTAATTCTAGAATTAAGATTTAAAATTTATTTCATGATTACATAGACAGATAAATGTGTGCAGTTTGAATGTGAGACTTCTCTAAGATACCATAACCTTAGTTTTCCTCAGTAGTTCACTAATGCGTCGTATTCTCCTTTAAGCTTTCATCTTTCTTACCTAATAGTTGTGGATAAATTCTTCAGGTGGGGACTTGCAAGCCGTGACTTGGACTCGAGTCAGACTTGACTTTTTGACTTGATAAAATGACTTCTCGACTTGACTCGACTTGAGAAGACTTGAAAAGAAACTTGTAAATTAACTGTAATGTCAGATCAAGATCTTGTCAAAAAATTTAAAAATTTTGAAATTACAAATTCATACATTCTTATATACTCTGTAATTAATACATTTCAAATAAAATATCAATGATTTTTTTAAAAGTACAACAATAAACTGATAAATCATATAATTTTACAAACCCAAAGTTTTCTACTAAAAACTTGAAATGAGTTGACGCTCAACGCAGACGACTTGGACTTGACTTGGACTCATGGGTCAGTGACTCGAGACTCGACTTGAACTTACCTGTATTTGACTTGACTCGGACTTGAGGTCAAAGACTTGAGACTTGCAAAACGACGACTTGGTCCCACCTCTGTTTGAAAGCTCCAGAAATTCAGTTTAGTTTTTAAAGTTGATTGCAGTTGAAGAAAAATAGATTTTATTTTGATCAACGTCAATTATTTTGTTTCCAGTTTGATTCGCAGACTTTGGTCGGCGCACTTGTCACGCCGTGTCCAGAACCATCTCAAATTACAGCTGATGAAGTTAAAAAGAATCAAAGAATAAATCTCAAACTGAGTGAAATAATGAAAAAGTGACATGCCTTCAGACAAGTCTTCAAAAAGAATCCACAAAACCGTAGAAGACGTTTTGCGACCAACTCATTCCAACAAACCACCATTGATTTTCATTTACAAACAAAAATCACATATCAGCCAACAATTACTTACTCAAGTTTAACCCAAAGTGCCTCTGGAGTGGGCGCGCCGCTCTGGGTCACCGCTGTCACTCGTCTCGTCAATATTTTCTTTTCTCCCTCAAAATAAAACCAAAGCAACCCGTCATTACCGTGCACTTAGCGGCTGGAGTGTGAGTGGCTGCAAAAATTGATCGCGCAAATTGAAAAGGGGGGTTAAGTGTTTTTTTCGACGCGCGTTGTGAAATGTCGCGCTCATATTTGCCCCATTACCAGATGAAGACGCCGCCATTAGCCCAGATGCTAGCTCTCGAGACGTTCCGCTAGCCGCTAATGGCCGGCGTTCGCTGGGGCTGAATGGCGAAAGTGGACGGAGGGGTGATCGCGGCTGTCACGCCAGCGACGCATTTGGTTCGATATGAATTCTTGCGGAGTTGTTTGTACGCTGTGATTACCCGGGGCAGCGCACAATGGGACTTAATGGGAGCCTGTCAGCCAAGTGTCAGGGAAAAGTGGCCGTTTTAAGGAGCGAGGAGAGTGTGGTGGAGCGGGGGTTCAACGCTGTGTCAAATGATCTGCTATGGACTTTTGACGTTGTGAAAGAGAATGTATATAAGCGTGCTATGTGGTGCTGCTTGGTTTAATTTGTTTTGTATTGTAAATTAAAGGCGGTGTACCTGATTTTTACTGCGTTAAATGTGAAAAACAGAAGTAGTTCATTTATAAGTTATTCCTCACTTACCTTATGTACCGTATTTTCTGCACTATAGGGCGCACTTAAAAGCTTTTAATTTCATCAAAAAACGACTGCCTTATATATGAATTTATTCAGGTGTCTTAGTACGACTTTAGTAAACTACAAAGCCGCACCACTTGCAGCATTACGGTTGCCGTAGTCAGGAGCATTGTGGAGTAATACAAACTGTGATTCCTTTTAATATCAAAATGCACCTGTCAAGAGACACGCTAACAACGCTGACTTTAAACTCAAGGCTGTTATAAAGTGAAAGTGCGAGCTGCGTGGGAGCAGTGGATGAGAAAAGGTGAACAAACATTCACCAAGACAGGGAGACAGCGCCGAGCGACTTACACTACGATCTGCCAACGGATCGTGGACGCCTGGACTAAGGATCAGTATCAACTGTGGTCTGAGCTTTCACCAAGACCCGAATCATCACTGAACTGCCAGGGAACAGTAACCACACTGACTCGGATAATGACGAGAGGGATGTGGACGTGCTGGACGCCGTAATCGCCAAAATGTTTGAACAATTATGAGTTATTGTGAATACTCTAACAATTTAGCATCTCAAACAATATTTTTTTTTACGTGTTACAATTGAACAAAGTTGAGAGTTATTGTGAACACGTTAAATAAAGTTTGACTGACTTATCTAACTGTTGTGTTTTGTTTAATGCGCCTTATAGTCCGGTGCGGTTTACATGTGAAAAAAGTTTGAAAATAGACCATTCAATGACAGAACGCCTTATAATCCAGAGCGTCCTATAGTGCGAAAAATACGGTAAATGTTAGTTTTTCAATTTTCTCCGCATTCTGGGTTGGGGTGGGATTCTTGAGGTCCAAGCTGGGTGGTATAATTCCCTCATCCCGGAAACGCAGGTTGAATCAGAGATGTTTACGGAAATGTGTCCTTTTCGATTCAAGTTGTTCTAATTTCTGTAATTCCTTGACACATTGTTGTCCATGACTTGAGCGTAATAGTCCAATGAGGTTCATTTGGTCTTCTGATAATTTATGTTATTAGGTTCTTTTTTCAGAACAAGAGCATCGTAATTATTCACCACGATGAGTTTATAAAAGCTTTTCACAACTTTCAGAGATCAGAGTGGAGTTTGGTCATGCAAACAGCAATTATATACTCTAAGTTAGGGTTGTTAAAAAATATAGAAATATCAATATATCTTATCATTTAATACAGAGGTGGGCAAACTACGGCCCCCCCATATGCATCCCTTTAATCTTTTTAATCCGGCCTGCCGAACTTGAATAATAATAATAACAATAATAATTTTCAGTGTTTTAAAAGTCATTTCAATAAATAAATTCTGTGGGAATGGAAAGCCAGATATTTTGTTGTAATGCTTTGTAATGATTTTCAATTATGGGACATTTCAAAAAATAACATGGGATATGTTTTCTACATATCACATGTTATTTTTTTCTCTTACGAGGTGGATTATCAAAACACTCCATCCATCTGTTCCTGGTCCAACCCTTCTGTCAAATTTTAGAAGCCTTTGTGGCCCACGAGTGAAAAAGTTTGTCCACCCTTGGTATAATGTGATGATACATTATTGATATCGTGGCCTGCTGTATTGATACATCGCCAAGAGGATTTTTTTGGTGTATTTTGCTTAATTATTTTGTTACATCGATACAGTTTTGTTGCTTGTTTAGACGAGGAAACTCATTTATGTGACACATTTGACATTTTCACTGTTTTGATGATTAAAATGTTTGTGTTTCATATGAACTTTGCTCCAGAAGTGGTTTAACAAAAACGCTTAGTATCACAGTCATGATTTAGACTTTATTTTTATTTAAACTTATCGAATTGATTTGAAATATATTATCGTATCGAATGAAAAGCGCACTGTATCGAGATACGTGTCATATCAGCAACTTCTTAATGATAGAAGCAAGAAAAATGATCTGACGACTCCTTTTTGCTGAAACGTTATTTAAAAATAACGGCTTTCTAGTTTACTGAAATCGTGCTGGGACACCCGAGTGGATTCGTGTATTCGGCACTCTGAATTGTGTTTGTTTTTTTTTTATGCTTTGATACTTGGAGGCTTAAGAGTGCGCCCTATAGTCTGAAAAATACGGTAAAGTAAATTTGAAAACAAGAAGAAATAAAAAAAAAGAAAAAGACCCTAACTAAGTGAATTTAGAAATTAATCTCAATATACACATTTTCATTTATTGCGCAGCCCAGTTTGTATTAAATATGTCCCAGGTTGTTTCTTTTAGCTCAGACACATTTTGGTCTTAGGTCTGTTCAGAAAAACCTCATCACACAATCCAGTAGAAAACACATTTCAATGCAAATGTATGTAATGGGAATAGATTTAACAAACATGCATTAGCTTGTATCTGGAGTTGTTTTGGTGGTCTTTACCTCAGCGGGGGGCTCAGCGGGGGGTCCCTTTAGCTTATTCTTACCCGAGCGGCGACACAGTGTATAATTTGCTGTTTAATTTCCATACACGTGTCTCATTACAGGACATTTCAGTTGGCCCTGACCCTGTCCCCTGCCCCCTGTCCGTCCTGGCCGTCCCTGCGCTACCCAGAGGCGCGTCGGTGGAACTGCACGTCACCGCGGTCCAGGACGAGCCCGACCAGAGGAGTTCCCGTCGCAGGACTACAAAGATGGCGTCCGGAGGGTCCATAGAGTGCCGCGGCGTGAGGTCTGCCGATGGGAAACGCGGTTCTCTGAGCGTGATCCGTGTGCGGGGCGGGCGCAGAGGCGGCGGAGGTGGAGGACGCGCTGGAGAAGTTCGGAGGAGCCTTCAGAGGAGCGATGGAGGAGATGGGAGCAGAGCTGGTTCCTCTGTGCGCGAGAGTGTTCTACAGACCGGACAGTCCGCTGGCCATGGAGATACTGAAAGGTGAGTAACACAGACAGTCAAAAGGATGGATTCATTCATGTTTCTTCTTTATTTCCATAATTATTGACCATGTTTTTTGGACTATAAGCCGCAGCAGCCAAAAAATGTGTAATGAAGAAGAGAGAAATATAAGTCTATAAGTCGTACTTTTTTGGGGGAAATGTATTTTATAAAAGACACCAGGAACCGACATTTCATCTTGAGAGCCAAGTTCTAGTAATAACAACAGAGCAGACTCACTCCAAATCACTAAATCCATTCAATTCTTCATCCTCGGTGTCACTTCTGAGCAACTCCACGACCTCCGGAGGTAAACAGAGCCCCGCTTCCTCTTCTGTGTCGCTGTCGTCAGACTCAGCATCAGTTCCAGTTAGAATTATTCTGGCCTTTCTGATTCCCGACAGGATGGTTTCGGTGTCACTGAAGACACTTAATTTTAAAATTTTTAGTCGTACAGAAGTACCGTATTTTCCACACTATTAGGCGCTCTGGATTATAAGACGCACTGTCATTAAATAGTCTATTTTTAATCTTTTTTCACAAATAAACCGCACCTGGACTTTAAAGGAAACACAACAGTTGGATGGGTGAGTGGTTTTGTTTGTTTTTCGTTCACGGTGACTCTGGGCTTTTTGTTGGCGTGTAGGGAGGGTGCTGTCTGGGACCAACGGATTGTCGGCGTGTTCGCAGTGACTCAGTTGTTCAGTTGAGTCTAGAAGCGGCACATTGCACTCACTTTTTCGGTTCGTTCCTCTTCGGCGTGGAGTGATGAGTGTGTCTGTGGGTGTTTGTCGCTGTGTGGTCACTGTCTGCTCCGTGTGTGTTTGCGTGCGCTGCGGGTTGTGCGGCTTTGTAGTTTACTGAAGTCGTGCTGGGACACCCGAGTGGATTCTTGTATAGGCGCTCTGGATTGTGGGGCGCGCAGTCGGTTTTTGAGTTGGGGCTTAAGAGCGCGTCTAATAGCACAGAAAATACGGTACATTGTTTTCAGTGACTAGAGCATTTTCAATATGTTATGTGTTCACATTAGGGGTGAACGATATCCAAGTCTCACAATACGATATCATCACAGTTTGAAACTCACGGTACGATATTTATTACAATATTTTGTGGACAAAACTGTGAATATGCGACTTTTTCCTGTTAAAATTCCTCAACAGGACTTAATCCAAAGAACTAAGACTTAAAAGTGCTTAGAACTGTTATTTCTTCTTGTAGTCTGCACTGAAATGGAGCAAAGGATCATGGTCTATGTAGTTCCCTCTGTCTTTTTTTTTAGCTATTGCTGCACCATAACTCTTAATTTAAGCAAAGAGACTTGTAATTCAATATATTGTGATGGTCCATGATATTGTTGTGAGAACTTTGACGATACGATATCACGATATTTCGTTATTGTTACATCCCTAGTTAACATTATGCCCCATAGAAGTGTAATACTCTGTGTTTAAACATTTATTCAGCTCACTCCTACACTCTATCTTTGCCAGCTTGTTCGGATAGAGGACTCAAAAATTCAGCAAATTCTGCAGAGAAAGGTCTTTGTGACTGTCCTGTTACTTGTTCTTTTTATATTGACATTTTTTGAACCAATTGCTTTTCGTTGACAGTTTTTTAGACATGTATTTTTACTATATTAATATAAGAGAATATTCTTTGAAATTCTTTACCAACGTCTGAATTTGCATGAGGCCTGTAGCTGTACAATAAGCTCATAATTCTCCTTACATCAGTCCTGCACATGTGGGTTAGTGGGGCTTTCATAAACCAGAGGCACTTTCTCTTCTCTCTCCATTTACCCTTGAATCTCTCCTTCATTTCACACATCCACTCTGCCCCCAAACCACTGACTCATCACAGCGCCCCCCGCAGGCCGACCGGGGGGGGGCCTCGTCACGGGTCACGGCACTCGCGTCCCTAAAAGTCACGGTAAAGCTCAGCGCCCCTGGCTCTGCTCCCGCTCCTCGCGCAGTACGGTCGGCCGTGCGGTTCCGTAGACGCCACATATGCTGCAGATCAAACCTCTAAACAGGGTGTCTGCGCAGGTTAGTGACGGCAGAGGGGCCACGACGACGGAGGGAGTGACAGCCTGACATTTCCAAAGGGTTGTAGTCAATCGTCCAGAGCAAAGTGTTTGGAGATTGACGGACAGAATGGAAAGGTAGATGACAACGTTGATTTGTCTTCTAATCCGTATTGCTGCGGTTTCCAATGAGATCACAACATTCGATTGGCCAATTAAGCCTCATTTCCACTGGTTCACGAGTGTCTCCACTGTCGAAAGTTGGGTTGTTCCAATACCGATACTGCATGTTTTTCATCGATTCGATACTAGTCTGTATTTTCCACTATATGGAACACTACAGCTAACGTCCACAGCTGTTCAAACGTAGACAACCGAGGCTCTGCAGATACTTAAACCACACTGATCATGACAGAACAGACATTTGTGTTAACTTTATCTCTTTGATACCTTCATTTAGCCTTTAGTGTGGACGCTCAACTTAGTGGAAAAACTGCGCTATGGAGAGTGCAGCGCGGCAACAGTGGCACCAGCGCTAACTCGGACTTTGTTTACTTTGCGTAATGATCCATGAGCTCTGAGAATGAGCATCTTTTTACAGGTCTCACTGTTTTTATCCATGCACTGCGGTAGAAAGTAACGAATTGGAAAAGCATAAGTGCTTAAATCAGCTCTACTTATGGTCAAGATCATTATATATTTGACTCTTAAAGGTTGTATGGAGGATTTTTTTTTTGTTTCAAACTGTCAGTCAAAGATTAAAATACCATTTCAGAGACGCAGCAGCTTTTTAATTATGATGACCAAAAAAAAAAAGAACGAAAATCTATCAACTGTGGACGTGTTGAGGCCAGATAAACATCAGCCAATAGAAAACGAGGCTCCCTCATTTTCTATTGGCTGTTAGGTTGTCAATCAAACTCCCTAGTATAACTGACTCGTCGGAGCGCGGGGATTACGTGGTTTATGCAGAGGTTCTTAGAGGCTTTTTCGAACTGTCGCTTCCTCGCATTTTACACAAAGTTTGTCGCGACGGCGGACGAGAATCCACGACCGGTTCGCCGCAAAAGAAAGTCCGTTTTTGAGGTCGCTGAAAGAAGAAGAGAAGTGGAAAAGGAGCAAAGCCAAACTGAGGTGATTCTTGGAGATCTCGTCCAGTGATGGCGCGACCGAAGCAGGCGAAGGGTCTAAAAACTGACGCGTCGGTCGCTGAATTACTTCTAGACAGGAAACTTCCACACTAATTCTAAATGCGCACAAGGACTGTCGCTGTATTTCTCTTCCCTTAAAGAAATCCTCTATACAACCTTTAACACTTCTCAAAATTTAATTTATTCTTCTAGATTTTCTTTAGAGGTATTATTTTAGTAGATTTATTTATTGCTCTTGTGTCGGGAGACCAGATGTCCCTATTTACCCGGGACAGTCCCAGTTTTGAGCCGTGTGTCCCCTGTCCCAGCAGATTTATACAAAACCACTGATTTGTTCCAGTTTTATACAAGAAAAGTCCCAGTTGTCCCTATTTTTGACCAATTTGTTACCTACCAACAGTAAAGAGGGGTATAGATTGTCATTTGTTAAGATAAAACACAGAAAACTGGAACTGGAAATGGCACCGACAGAAGTCCCGCAAATGAGTCGAGAACGGACAGTGTTACGCACTCTTTTCACAATTTTATTTACATCAGCGATCGCAACCCGAGTGTTTCCCAGTTTTGAATTTTGAAAATCTGGTCACCCTACTCTTGAACTGTAACAAAATTGAGTAGCCTTAGCCGTACTTCTTCACACTATGTGGTATTGGACTGGTATCGGCATCAGCGAGCTCAATAAGGCCAAGTTTCGGTATCGAATCGGATCCCCTCAAAATTGTTTCAGAACAACACTGGTCTAAAGTGAACTGTACCTTTAGGGGTCTGCGTCTGGAGGGTTATAACTTCCAGTCGGGGTTGGCATGGCACAGATCGCTTTAGCTAAGGCGAGGCTACACTAAAAATGCTCCCTGTCACTGCTGCTTGTCATTTTAGTCGTTTTTGAAATGACTGTAGTCACTGGAAGCAGCACGTGCGCCGTTGTTGAGCAAAAAGCTGTACATTTGCCTAGTCTGTACAAATAAATGAGAAGACAACTTTATTAAAACACCACATGCACAGTTGAGAAGCAAACACGTTGGCGTAGCGTTGAGTTCCTCTACAGTAAATCCAGATTTGAAAAGATCAGATGACGTAATACGGTTTCCAGTTAAGCCAATAATAACCAATAGCTGCTGGGTTAATTGTCTGATTAGGCCCTGAGCCCGGTCTTCTGCTGTGCTACACTGACTTCCAAACCGCTCAAATCAACCAGCAAATGACTCGTTAATTACAATTAGAGAGGAATGCTCCGCAGAAACGTGTCCATTTGGTCCGAGGATACAAGAGGAGAAGACCCGGGGGCCACTACTGTGTCTCATGATGCTGACGAGACTCTGCAGCAACACAACATAACATAACAACACATAAGCGATCAGAAATGTTATCAGCTTTATTATTTAAATGTCAAATATTATGCATGGACTTGATGATTTTTTGTTACAAATTAATGGTATTTTAATCTTTCACTGACAGTTTGAAACTAAAAAAAATCCTCCATACAACCTTTAAAAAAAAATATATGGGAATGATTTATGGTCTTATGTATGCAGGAGATCTCCGGACTTTTACCTGTGACGTAACAATCCTAGGAAAATCTAAATGACGTTTTTATTTTATCTTTTTATTTTACTTCATGGGGGACTTATTAAACAGCACTCAGAAAATAAATTTTAAATAAGAATTCTCTCGAACCACTGTCAAAAGCACTTCAGAAAACAATATAAAAATCAAATCTTATAGAAATACCTAAAAGACTAAACCACAACTATTAACCAAACACATGCTTTTCTTTAACATTACCGACCTACCTAACGATACATTTTGTGCCTTCTTTATCATTATTATTAGTTTGTACGATCATAAACGAAAACAAAACTGGCATCTTTAAAAAAAATGAAGATAAGAACTAAAAAAATGTATTAATAAATAAGTGATTGTGTTTCTGTTCTGTTTAAAAAAGTAACACTGTAGAAGCCTTAAAAAAGAGTATAAAGTGTTATGTTTTGAAAGATATAGAGCTCTGAAAAGAATGAATTATGCTTTTTTTAAAACATTTTTTTTAATCTTTTGTCTCTTATATATACAGTAAGGTGTAGGTGAAATTGTAAATGCAAACTCGCTCTTCATACGCTGCTTTTCTTTCTTGGAATTCTGATATTATTTTACAGGGTTTGGCTTTATAAGTACTTTTTTACTTCAGCCTAAACCCTTTCAGTCATGATCCATGGGGCTGTAGTCTATGTTTTGTTTTGTTTTCTTTTGTAGTGCTGAAAAATGACTGAATGAATAAAAAAACTACTATTACTACTAAAGCAAGCGTGATTAAAGTACGACTCCAGCTTTTGATGAGGGGAATAATGTTATAACATTGGTTTAAAGGTCCTATATTATGCAAAATTTACTCTTGTTATTTACTCTTCTTGTCATGTTAGAATGTTAGCAGGAGTTGTGTTTTGTTTGTTCACATACTGTATGTCTGTCCACATCTCCAAAACTCAAAATGCCTCCATCTCCACCTTGCGATAGTGGATTTGTTTAGTGGAGATTTAGTGGAAATTTCAGGTCTGAAATTATCCAAATAATTCTAGTGAAGGACAGCCTGGCTCGCTGAAAGTTTTTGGAAAATGCAAAGTGTAATGACAATTATTTGAATCTGACTGGTCAAAGTGTCACAACAGCGGAACGAGATGAAAAACCAAACTTTAGTTAAATCCAGTTAAGAGAAAAGCATGAAGTTGTCCACAAATGCGCAAAGCTGTTACCTTCAGGATAATTTTTACAAACAAAATAGTCCGTATTGAGATAGTTCTTATTGTTTTGATAAGGAAATAAGATTATAACAGATGAGAAAATAGAATAATGTGACGATGTATAGCAAAAAATGTGTTTAATGTGTTTCTTTTCTCTGTCCCTCTTTTTTTTTGCAGGACTTGAAGACACATTGTCCACTAGTTTGGGACAGTCCTCTCCAGCGCTGTCCCCAGTCCCCGTCCTGGAGCTGAGTGAGTCCCGGGTCCTGCTCCTGTCCTGCTGGTTGTCCTCTTAGACCTGCTCCAGTCCACGTCTCCAAACAGGACGCTTTAACATGGAACTATGGGACATTTTAGGAGAGAGGAAAACACAAAAGACTCTCAACTCACTGATAAGACGAAAACTACTCAACATGTTCCCAAACGGTTTATACATCTGCTGTAGGATTATGAATTCTATTAGATCCAAGTTTTTACTTAGTTACGTAGAGAAGGTTTCATCTGTGGTCATCTGGGAGCTGAAACGTCTTGATCACAAAAACAGTCGAGCAATTACACCACACCTGGAAGAATGAAGGACTACACAATCTCTCTTTATTTAGTCACATTTATGTTATTGTTTGGGATAGTCTTACATAAAGGGGAAAATAAAATAAAAGATTTTTGTATGAAACAGTATGTCATGTTTACAGTCTGATTTGTGGTGAAAACAAAACTTCATTGTCATTAAAAGTTTATGTTTGTAGGCGCAGCAGCTCTACTCAGAGTTCCTCCCAAGTGACAGAGCTCCAAGCCTGTCTCTAAGGGAGCGACCAACCACCCTGCGGAGAAAACTCGTTTAACCTCTTAGTCCATGTATCTACTAAACCAGGACTAAACTTGGACCGTAGGTGAGCGTAGGAACATCGACTGACCACCACTCTGGTTGGCCTGTCCAGAAGCACTGCCCCTGATCGCCAGGATGATGTCTCTTGGCTGGCCTGGGAACACCTTGGGGTTTCTGGAGGAGCTGGAGGAAGTGTCTGGGGTGAGAGAAGCCTCGGAGTCCCTGCTCAGCCTGCTCCCACCTCCCGCCCAGGTCTGATCTTTGTACGTTCACACGTGCAAAGATATTTTTCAAAACAGACACATTTCCTTTCTTTTGTACTTATCTTTTACACGCAAACGGCAAATTCACCTCTGAAAACAAACCTTTCTAAAAACTCCGGCTAGAGTGAAGATTCTGGAAAACAACGGTTTGGTGTTTGTGTGTAAACTGAGTTTTAGGAGCTGATGTGCCAAAAGTGCCGTCAGTGTTTCCCTTTTGCTCTGATGATGTTGTTGGAGCATTCAGAGCATCAGTCGCGTTTCTTCTGGTCAGACACTTCTCATGTGTTTGCATTTGCACACAGCTGATGTGTTTTATCCGTGACCAGAGACAAATGAGGCTCGGAGGTCAGTGATTTTACCATTTTTTTAACAGATCTGTGGAGAGGCGAGCCCGCTCACTAATGCACGTTTTTCAAGATATTTTTGACTAAAACTTACAACTGTAATGAAATAAATGCTACAGGTTTGAATCTAATCCAGGTGCCGCCCAGAGGTTTGGTGCAGTTATGACGGCGCTCGATGGAGGATTTATGTAAGTTGATGTAAACAAAAACTTTTTTGAAAACTATGCTGTGTGCACGATGTTATTTTGGAAAACGGAGGGAAGGAAATATTCGTTTCTCAACATATCCGGCTCTGTGTAAACGCAGCCTAACATCAAGGAACCACTCACCCACTCTACACACCAGTGTACTCAGACACTGGGGGCGAGGTGGGTCAAGTGTCTTGTCCAAGGACACAACAACAGCATTCCAGGAGCTGGAATCGCTGGAATGTGAGTCAGGTTGGTTGATATTTATGGGGGATTTGAGCCGCCAACCTTCAGATCAGCAGATGAACTGATCTACCAACTGATGCAACTAACTATTGTCACATCATCCCCCGTCCCTCGTTCTATCCCCCCTCTTCTCTCCTATGGCTCCAAATATCACTCGTTAAACCCAGGGGCCTCTGTCTCTCTCTCCACGGGGCCCGTACTCTGTTATTATCGTGTAATGGCCAATCAGCACCGAGCACCTGCAAACACCCGAGCTCTAATGTCTCTGATTGATCCAGAGACCGAAGAGTTAATTCTAGCGCAGGAGAGCGCGCTTTGGTGAGATGAGTGAGTTATTGATCTATTGTTTTGAAGTGTTGTTGTCATCAGAAATTGAATTCTTAAACAGTAGAGTTACTCCAAACAGGAATAATATGAAATAAATGTGTTAATTGTGGAGTTTAGCTACTGCATCTTAAATAATATTAAAAAGAAAGGACATTAAAACCTCAGTTACACTTGTATAGACACGGACAAAGAGGAAATCCAGTTGGTTTAAATCTAAAATGTCTCTCTCTGATCTGAACGGTCACTACCTAAACCTCAACACCTGCAGTTTTAGTGCAGCTTCTGCAGCTCACAGAGGGAATTCTGGTGGTTCTGAGCTTTCACATGAGGCCTGTGATGCATTATTTGTTGTTATTGGAATTACTACTGAAAAAATCCAACTACAACTAGGGTCAGCAACATTTTCTAACATGTTAACAGAGTCGAGCAGCTGTAATAAACACCACTCAGCAGCAGTAATGTGTAGAACAATTCTGGGAATAATTTATGGACTTATGCATGCAGGAGATCTCCAGACTTTTACCTGTGACGTAACAATCCTAGGAAAATCAAAATTGCGCTTTTATTTGATCTAAAACAAGCATGGTTGAAGTACAGTTCCAGCTTTTGATGAGGGAACAATGTTATAACATGACCTAAAGGTCCTATATTACACAAAATTTAAATGTAAGTGTTATTTTTTACTCTTGTTGTCATGTTAGAATGTTACCTGGAGTTGTGTTTTGTTTGTTCACATTTGTCTGTCTACATCTCCAAAACTCAAAATGCTCTTATCTTACTGTAATTGTACTTTGGGTTTATTACTTTACTAAAATAGCAACATTACTTTTAACATTTTAGTTTTGTTTCCCTTCACAATAATAACACGTTGACAATAACATCTACATAAAGGTCTGAGCACGAGCATGTGTCCCAGTTTTACACACATGTTTTCAGCCTGAAGCTTCTGTCACATCCCCCTGTGCACAGACCTGCTGTGGGTGGGTGCTGTGGGTGCTGCGGGTGGTCTGGGTGGGTGCTGTGGGCGAGCTCTGTCTGTTTGGGTGACCGTCTTTAGCTCAGAGGAAGGACATAACACAATTGTATTTATTTTCATTGCACTAGTCGCCCAATCACCAACAGCAATGATACTATACAATACGATATTTACTTTGGTATTCAGTTTATTTATTATAATATTTAGTTGTTCAGGGAAAAAAAAAACACTGCATGAAAATAAAAATAGACGAATATCGGGTAAATTGTGGATTCATATTTTTAGGCTATGGGGCTTTAGTCGCTCAGATTTTATAGGTTAAGTAGCTGTTCAATTCTAGTTTTGATCAGAGTGTACTATTGTTGTATCTTTAGGCAAGATACTTCTCTCAGCTATAAATGTGATTTTTGAGTGATTAATGATAATAAAATTATTCCCTGCTTTTTCTGAGCTGATTCCCAAGTCACGAAAACAAAGATCTTGCAAAGATATTTATAAAATTACATGCAATTTTATGACAGTGAGGTTACACGGGGTTAATTTGAATTTGATTTTGAGTTTTCAGCACAATACTGACTTGAACAAACATGTATTTATCTGTTGTTTTGTGGCAAATGTTGCTCCCATTCCCTGGTGTGTGCCGCTCTCTAGTGGACAAAGTAAAAACTGCAGCTTAGAAATTTTCTACGTAAAATGAAAAATTAAAATATATATTGTTTTACTGTTTATTTTTGTGTAAATATAATTACATTTTAAACATGGTTAGGTGAGATTTATGGGCAAAGCTGTTAGATTAAATATGTTGTGGCCTATTTATCTAGTCTTAAGAAACTAAATTGCCATAAGAACAAAATCATTATATAAAACATAAATAAGTAAATAAATAAACAAATAAAAATGTACATGTTTCCTTTTTTTTTTCTTTTTTTTTTTTTTTTTTTTTTTTTTTGAACTTGGTCTCGCCACAGTAGGAACCTTCGCTAGTCGGAACAGACGTTTTAACAGTGCGGACGACGTTTGGGACGTACCAAACCAGGAAGTCCGTCGCAAACAGCGCGTTTTGTGTACATGCTTTTTCTTTCACCACCAAAAACCTCATGTTGGAATAAAATCATTATAATTAAAGGTTAGTAAAGTCGATCGGAATATTGTACATAACCTGAATTTATCTTTATCTTATATCGGCGTTAGATCTCCATTTAAATTTAAAGTTATGATCCAAATTTCTGAGTTTTGTTCTTTCGACAAACACATCCTTGGCTCTAAATGCGTGGAAAAGTCTTTAAACATATTTTCAATTAATCTACTTTTAAAATGTATATTATTATAAGTGCATTACAATGATATTCAAAGGTGGATAGTCTTCATTTACTCAAGTACATATACTTGTGTAACAGTACTCTTACTTGAGTAAAACTTGTGTTTTTTCTTCCCGCAGTGAGTGAATTTACAAACGACAAAAAAGCTTTATTATGTTGACAATAATATGAACATTTGTGTTTATTTCCCCGCTTCTTCAGATATGATTTAGTTTGTCTCATTTTTTTGTGTTCCATCAGCAAAGAACAGATTATTAATTTAGATTATTACTTGTATGATTCTAATTTATATCTATTATTTATTTACGTTTATAGGTTGTTATTTAATGTGTTTTTCTTTTCAAATTACATTGTCAGATGTTACGTACAGTTACAATTATTTGAGTAATAATTTGCTTTTACCACTGCTTTGTTCTTCTACTTGAGTAATAACAACGCTCATAATCTGATAATGTGTTAGAAATCCACATTAATCGACTCAAATGTGCCAATTTTTTGTCATATTCATGTTTAATAGACAGTTATTCAGTTCAGCTCATCTTTAATTTGGACTCATGTTCCATTTTTAAAACAGACAAGGACAGTGACAATACAAAACAACAAACATTTATGTTTTTAAAAGACGACCACACCAGTGTCTCCACATGTTGGACTGGTATCGTATTGCACTGATTCTCAAATTTGTGAGTGACATTATTATTTCCTTGACTGATTTGTTCAGTCTGCAGATAAAACTGTACATTAAAGTTCTTAGTAGAGTAGATTAGAGTTCACTCGTGCAGTAACAAACATCTCAGTCGCACTCGTCCATCGTGGCTTCCTCAAAAACACCCGTAAAGCGTAATTTTAGACCACCTGCAGTCAAAAAACTGTTTAAATTATTAATCCAGAGGTGGGCTGTGTACAACGGTGTACAATATGATTTAAACTACAAATTACAACTTTACATCATTTGTACAAGAGCCAAACTTATGCGTTTGCCTGAGCATAGAGCGTCCTACACTGTTTATACATCATCTGCCTTGTCTGCAGTGATGATGTGTCCAAGATATTTATTATACCTGTACTGTTTTAATCTAATCTATATCCTTAAATCTATATCTTTAAAACAATCAATTATTTGTATTAATATTTGGCTTATTGTACAGAAAGGTGTTCATGTTTGTATTTTTTGTTGTTGACACCAGTG